AAAAAAAGGAACAGTCCAGCGCCTTCGTCTTGGCAACGTAAAATACGTGGTACGGTTAAGAGCATATCCAAGTCAAAAACGAAAGAGCACACTAATAAAAAAATATCGATAACACAAGCGATTATAATATCGATATCAAAATCGATAATAATATCGATAGCCAAATCGATATCAAAAATTATAAAAGTGTCGATAACAAAATCGATATAAATATCAGTAACAAAATCGATTACAAAATCTATCAAAAAATCGATTACAAAATCGATAACTAAGTCGATAACAAAATCGATAACAAAATTAATAAAAATATCGATAGCAAAAGCAAAAACAATATCGGTAGCAAAATCGATAATAGAACCGATAAAAATATCGATAACAATATCGATAAAAATATCGGTAAAAAACCGATATCTTTATTGATGACAAAATCGATAATAATATCAACAAAATCGATAAATGTCTCCGATTAGTTTATTATTTAAATTAGTTACAATATCGATAAAAGCATCGATAACAAAAGCGATAATAATATCAATAGCAAAATCATTAAAAATATCGATGCCAAATCGATTAAAATATCAACAAGAAAATCTGTAAAAGTATCCATAACAAAATCGATAGCAAAAAAAGATAACAAAATCGATAAAAATATCGTTTACAAAATCGATAAAAATTTCGATATCAAAATCGATAAAAATATCGATCACAAAACCGACAAAATATCGATTATTATATCGATAAGTCCCGAGAATCCCGAAGATCTCTAAAATCCCGAAATAATTCCCGGATTGAGTTTAAATGGTCTTTATATCCTAACTACGTTTAGGAGGGTTGCCACATGTATACAAAATTTAGTTCAATTTTATTTATATGGGTGTCAGACAGAGGAGGTTTAAGAAGGTAGTGGTTTGGAAATATTTTGAAAAGGGTTGCCACCTATTTGAGAAGTCGAATTAAATTATTTTATACTCAAGTTATACAAAATATCAAAAAAGGATATCAAATTAAAGAGATTTAACACATATTTAGTTTCAGAATTAAGAATAGTTTTGATGTGTTTGAGGGTTGCCCCAGTTTAGAAGGTTATACTAAAATTATTTTATAAATTAAATGAATTACTAAATGATGGTTATCAATGCAAATGTGTTTAAAATCCTTTATTTCAGAACTATATTTAGGGTTGCCGCGTGTTTAAATAATAAATTTCAACTTGATTCATCAGTTACTTGAAATATTTATATAAATGTAAGATGAAAAATATTTGAGGAAATTTTCGAAAATAATTTTTAAGAGGGTTGTCGCCTATATTGAAGGTGCTATTTAGCTTAATTATACATAAGTTATATGTAATTTTAAAATATGGTGTATCAAACGAACGAGTGTTAAGAAATCTTTAAATTGAAAATTTAGAATTTTCAATAATGTCCGAAGAAGGCTGCCTCCTGTTGAAAAAATTCGATTCAAATTATTTAATAAGCTAAATGGACTTTCAAAAGGTGGGTATCAATCTAAATGGTTTGAAAACAATTTATTTCTGATCTGTATTTAGAGTTAGAGTTGCCATGTGATAAAAAAATCAAATTCAACTTAATTCATCAGTTAATTGAAATATGTATAACAATGACAGACGATAAAAAGATTTTAGTTTGAAAATACTTTTAAAGGGATTGCCACCTGTTTGAAAAGTCGAATTTGTGGTACTAATATACAACCTACATAAATGAAATTTCGAAATGTTAATGTCAAACGAAAGAGCTTTACGAAAACTTTAGGCTGATAATATTTTTTATTAGGGTTGCCATCTATTTTTTTGAAGGTCATCACATCTGCACCGTTATATCGAATTTCCAAAATTAACACTAAAGAAATGGGATTCTACATAAATGTGCAATAAGGTTTTATTTTTTAAATAAGGAACTTCTTTAACGGTGCAGGGAAACTTGAAATTTGACGAAATGGAAACCGACACCATGCTAGAGCTCTCATCGCTCATAGATGATTTAGATGAATCATTGGGAATATTGTTTGAGGTGTTTGAAGAGGGTTTCACCTGTTTAAAAAGTTAAATTCAATTTTGGCGGTTTAACGCCATGCGGGTTCACCAGTTATCATTATTATTAGGATAAAAATTTTAGATTATATTTTGATAAAATAAAAAGTCATGTTGACATAATGTCATTAACTTTAAGATACCTTAACAGCTTTTGCTGTTTTTATGAAAGTTCGAATGATAATTTATTTTTTAAGTAAAATCATTTTACAACAACCATATTTAAACGTATTTATTATGTTTTTGCAGAAATTCCTTCTGGCTTTTTTGGCGTTGACAGTGGTTGCATCTCATGCCCTACCTCAATATACCTATGATCCAGCAATAAAAAAACAAGGGTACGATTATCCTCCTCCACAAGTGTCCTTTGACGAGCCGCTACCACCTTCACAACAATATGAAGCAAATTATATTCCGCCAAGGAAACCGAATTCGCCACCACCAAAGTCAGGCGGATATGTATACCCTGTACCATCGAAAAAATTCCCTCCGGCTCCTAGTAATAGTCTTCCGACAATGAGGACGCACACATCTTATCCAACGACGGCAGGATATATCTACACACATCCTCCAGTTCCTTTTACAACTTCATCAAATCGAGGGCCCTCAGTTCCCCTGAATCAGCTATCGGCAATATCTAGACCAACAGTTCCTTTCAAAGCTCCGTCAAAGTCAACATTATCACCAGTGAATCTATCTACACCACATACTACGTCTCCACCTAAGTCATCTGGCTACTCTTACCTACCACCGAGAGTGTCTTTCTCACTCCCAACAAAATCGCCTTACACAAATTTAAAGTTGAAAGTTAAATTGCCTCCTCCGCAATCTTCACAGCCACTGCAATTAAAAGAAGCTCCTACAAAAGCTACACCATCCACACATAATACTAATGGATACTCCTATAAACCTCCCGACGTTCCATTCATCGTTTCTTCGAAAACATTAAGTACTCATTCAAAACCTCCAAAAAAATTTGGATATTCCTATACTCCACCACACACTCCTTTTAATCCAACAACTTCACCCAAAGCGGCGTCAGTAGTTTCACAATCGCCAACAGATCAAACAAAAACATCGGGTTATTTATATAATGCACCTAGGGTGCCGTTTAATTTGCCTCAACGTTCAAAGGTTGGATACACCTATACACCTCCCGCAATACCTTTTACAACTCCTGA